AAAATTTTGGGGTACAACAATATCCCACATGCATAACATGGCCATTTTTGTAAGGCAACAAAGTGGAATTACCCTAAGGGTGTAAGTGTGCAAGTGTATTGATTTACATGCATTATTTATCTTGAATTAGGGTTTGCTAACTTGTTGATTTTAGTCTTTTCATACAAACCCTAATTTACTAGCATTTATATAAAACGATAAATTGCGGAACATAAAAATACTAAGCTATTACATCATTAGGGGAGTGGGTATACAAATTTACAAATGGGGATTTGCAAGAAAAATAAACTTAATTATCTATTACAACCATATTGAATATTGCACAAATTTGAAGGGAAAAAATGCAAGAATGTAAATGGAAAAAGAGTAATTTGTGTTTGGTTTTCATGAAAGGGTTTTAGTCTTGACCTAATTAAGAAAATGATTAATTAAAAATTAAACAAAAATAAATTTAAACTAATTAAGAAAGAAATTAGGTTAAAAATGATTTTTTAGGGTTTTTTATGAAACAAAAGGTTTTAAGTTACTAAAATAAAATGAAAATTAATTAATTAAAAGAAACCTAAGTTCTGGGTTGATTTTAATTTAACAGAAAATAATCTAATAAATAAACCTAAGTCTAAATATTTATTAATTAAAAAAAATTAATTTGTTTAAGAAAATGTTTTTAGTCTTTTTGTATTTATAGAGAAAATAAACTAAATAAGTGTAAAAATAATAAACAAAATATTTTTGGATTTTTTTATTAATAAAAATAATAATGATAATAATAATAATAATAGTAATAAAAATAATAAAAGAAACTGAAGTAAAATAAATAAAAAATGATAAAGGAAAATAAATGGGCCAGGTGTGCAAAAGTAAACAGGGGTTAGCAAAAGAAAAAATGGAAGGCCCATCTATTTGGAGGCCTAGCGTCTGTTTCAAACAAAAAATAGAAGAAAAATGTATATAAAAAAAAGAGCAAAAGGGTACCACTGGGACTCAAACCCAGGTCCCAAAGGTTAACATGTGCGCACTTTACCACTGGGGTGGCTATACATCTGTTCATTTAACTGAAATAATAAATACATAATACAAAACAAGTTCCAAAAATGAACTTTATCTTCAACCTCCAGCCATGGATCATATAACCCACTCATTTCTCATCCATTCACAAAACTTCCAACATCAAACTTGTTAGAAATTTCATCACGATTCTGAATATGTAAATAACTTAAGCTAATTCTCAAAGATGAGCATGAATTTCTAAAAGTACCAAATTCTGATCTAAATATTTCAACAAGTTCAAACTCAAAATTCTCACTACTTAAGCAACATAAATGAAATCCATGGACATGTGTAGTTTCAGAGCAATGATGTCTATATTTTATCTTCGCAAATGCAAGCCTAACAATGCCTAAATAATCAGATGAAAAGTCAGAAAATGCACCTCAAAAATGGAAATCGTGAAATGAGTTTGAGCTTGATTCAAGGTGCTGCAATGATCATGTTAGCTTCCTTGAGTCTCTAGGAAGCTAATGCAATGCTTTGCTTGAGTTGAGAGTGGCTGAAATGGCTTGGAGAAGTCAAGTTGCAGATTCTGTTTTTGAGCTTGGACAATGGTGAAAATGGTGTTATAGTTTAGAAACAGGGATTGGGATGAGTTGTATTTGAATTAAGGAAGCTTTTGATATGATTTGGAAGGAAAATGCACGAGTCGTTTGAGAGATGAGAGTTTTTGGTCAGGTATTGCACAACAATGGAGTTTTTATGCAATCTGAGTTTTCAGGGAGTTTGAGTGAGTTTGAGGGTGTTAATGCTCGTGTGTTAACTTACAAATAGTGACTCTATTTATAAGCAATAAGTTTGGAGACTTGTTGTTGATCAGAATTCAAAATCACAAGTTTAAGCATAACATGTGATTTTTGAGAAATCCAAGTTTCAATGCCTTGTGTACTTGTTAAGATAGAGTGGTTATGCTTTAAACACACTTGCTTCTGACTTTGTAGATGAAGTGTGATCAGAGGGAACAAGTTAGAGGCTCAAGAATTGACTTTGTGCATAAAACTTGCTTTTCAAGAATGGCATTCTTCACTTTCTTCCCAAAATGGCAATGTGAATTGGATAAAGCTTAAACCACTTGGATTATAGCTTAAAAGTTTGTGTAATCTATTAATGATGGATAGATACACAAGTTAGAGGGCCTGCAAAGCAAGATTATGCAGCCTAACATTGAAATTGCATTATGTGTTCATCAAGAAATGACTTGTAATTCAAGAATGAAACTCTAACTTCTTGCCTTCGATTCTCCTTGCTCAAATATGATCTCAATGAGTTCTTGAACATTTTGGGAAGCTTGTAACATCCTCTACAACCTATATGTTGGACATTTTTGAAAATTCATCTTAGAACTATGTGAAAAATTTCCATGAAGTTAGGTCAAAATCCTGCCTAAAGTAGGGCAAAATTTTACTAAGTTTCAAGTTTCATGAACATGTCTTCACAAAATCATAACTTAAAATTCATGCATTTCTAAGAGAAGTTGTGTTCTACAATGTTTTAGATCTCATTGATATCTACAACTTTCATGTTGGAAGTTTCCTTTGAATTATCTTACATCATGGTGAAAAATTGGCTCAAAGTTGTGAAAAAATATGAATTTTCAAACACTTAGAAAAATTTCTAAGTTTAGAAATTTTGACTTTTCAAAATGAAATCTTGACTTTTTGATTTCTTGATGAACAAGTTTCATAATTTGACATGTTTTGGTGAATTATGATCTTTGATACTTGATTTTGACCAAAAAGTCAAAGTTTGACTTTTCAGTCATTAGGTCAAAATGAAGTATTTGAAACCTTGAGGTCATGTCTCAAACCAATCAATCATTTGCTAGGTCAAAAATCAGAAATTGCACCTTCTCAGTCAAAAATCCTAATTTTGACCATTTTGCTCTTTTGATGATCTGATCAAATTTCTTGAGGAATTGTGATCCAAACTCGATCAAATGACATATATGAGTTCATAATATTGATATGGACCAAAAATTATGAAGTTTGACTGTAAATTGACCACAGTTGACTTTTTCCCCGATACAACTGATTTTAGGTCAATTGATCAATTGACTGAGCAAAAAATATGATCCAAGACTTGAAACTTGACATGAGCAATCTTGAGAGTCAAAAATGATCCATGAAAGTCATATGGGTCATTAAAAGTCCATTTGTCCTTGTGCAAACTCAAACCCTAATTTTCAGTCATCAGTGCTTGAGGAGGTGTCTTGAGTTGATCAACCCTTGATAAATGAGAGGGAAAATTTTGAAATACAACAGGATCCCTCTTCATACATAAGGCTAGTTGAAAGATTCATTTACCTCACCAATTCAAGGCCTGACATTTCTTTTGTTGTGCAAGATTTGAGCCAATATGTGTTTAAACCTTGTATACCTCACAACCAAGTTGCCATCCATGTTTTTCACTATTTAAAATTTGCTCATACCAAAGGTATACTATTTTCTTTTGCTAGCAAAATGCAATTGTTTGGTTTTGCTGATTCGGATTGGGCTCGATGCCTTGATACCAAAAAAACTATCACTGATTATTGTGTTTTGTTAGGCTCGTCTTTGTTATGTTGGAAGTCTAAAAAGTAGCACATGGTTTCCAAATCCTCTATTGAGGCGGAATATCGTGCCCTTGCCTCCATCACATGTGAAATACAATGGCTGTAGTACCTATTTTGTGATTTGCTTGTCAGTTTTGATCAGGAGACATCGGTTTTTTGTGATAACAAATCTGCCATTTACTTGACTCATAATCCTTCGTTTCATGAGCGTAGTAAGCATATAGAACTGGACGGTCATGTTATCCGCGAAAAGATCAATTCAAAGCTCATTCACTTGTTGCCGGTTTCCACGCATAATCAACTAGCTAATATGTTTGCAAAACCCTTACACTCTCCTTTACTACAAGTTAATTTAGGTAAATTGAGTCTTTGTAGCATCTAATGCCCAACTTGACGGGAAATATTAATATATATGTATATAGTATCTTTTCTATATTTAAGATTTTAGTGTATAGTCTTGTGACAGTGTATATTTTAATCTCTTTATAGCCACACAATACTTGTATATACTTGATATAATATCCTTTTGGATAGAGCTAATGATAATGAGAATTTCAGTTACACTTTCCTAACTGTTTTGCAACTACTGCATTTTCTCTTCTTCTTCGATGAATACGATTTGTATCTTTATCATCTTCACCAATTTATCTTCTGATTATTTCAACATTGACAGTTAAAATAGAAAAAAAAATAGTATAAATTATTCATGGTATCACAAAATCTATTATAATTTGGTATTGATATTTTTCTCAAAACAACCTTAATAAAAAAATGTAGCATCTTATATTCACAATTATTTATCAATTATTTATGTACATTAAATTTAAGACGAATCTGACATTAAGTACTTTAATAATCGATGTTTATTTATAATTTTGAAAAATATCTCATGCAAATAGTTTTGAAATTTTGTAGAGTTAATATATTTTAATTAGACAAGGGAAAATTGAAAATTTGTAGAGTTAGTATATTTTTTAACAGTAACTTTAACTTTCTTTGTCTGTATTTTTTAAAATAATTTTGAATATATTCACTTAATTTCAATTTCTTTTTTATTAAAAAAAATATCTTGGAAACTAAAACTAAATTGACATTTACCAAAATAATGTCAAAATTTTATTTAGTAAAAATGATTTTCTTTTTTAATATAGAAATGTGTGTCTGAAAAGGAGCCCCATATATCCCAAATCCCTCCCTATCCATTATGGAAACGATCTATAAAGAAATGTATAGACAAGTCTAGAACACTCCCAAGTCACATTCACGTGATGAAATTTTCTCAACCATCTTTGATTCCAGAAATGTCCAATGAATCCTATAAATTTCAATGCAAACATAAACTTTTCAAACAGCATTAATATTCTTCGCTAACATCATTGCAAAAAAGGGAAGAAAAAAAATGTCTGCAACTTTACCAAATATGAGCTTCTATGCTCCCACTTCATCTTGCAGAATGAAGAAAACTTCCAATGTCAAATTGACAACATTGTCAAGAACAAGGAATAGAATTTTCTACAACAATGTAAAGGCTATGGCAATAGGAGATGAAGCAAGCTTGCAGAGGGCTAAGCAGCAGCAATTGACACCAAAGATGAAGGTGTTGCAAGCTTCACCTAGAGGTAAAAAGAAAAAAAATTATTTAAGTCCTTTATGATAGATGTATCAAACATTTGCTCCATTGACACTAACAGGGACAAATGACTTTTTTTGATAGTGTTGTTGAACCAGTTTCCAGTAGCTAGAACTGTGCAACAAATGATGGACACAATGGATAGGATTGTGGAAGATCCATTGGTGTACAATGACGATTCCCGTTGGATAGTTCTGGAAAATGATGAACATGTTAAGAGAAAAAATCCTTGGCTAATAAAAGAAGGCCAAGATGATTACAAGGTTAGATTCAACATGCCTGGTATGAACAAGAATGATGTTAAGGTATGGATTGAAGAGAAAATGTTGGTTGTGAAAGCAGAAAAAGTAGCTATGGAACAACATGGAGTTCAAGCAAATGGCAATGGAGAACTAAGTCAAGAACATGAAGATTGGCCTGCTAATAGTTATGGTAGGTATAGTCATAGGATTTCTCTTCCAGAAAATATCGAGTTTGACAAAATTAAGGCACTGGTTAGAGATGGTGTTCTTTACATAACAATCCCTAAAGCCAAAGCTAATGCAAAAGTAATTGGCATAGATGTTCAGTAACCTCTGAAGTGGCACTTCAGATTAGAGAAGTATTCCACGCCAATGTGTTGCTTATTTCATTTTTTCCAACTTAATATTGGTTTTAATGTATCATTGTTATGTTTGGTGTCTCTATTAGCGTTTTATAGAGTGATTATAAGCTCATAATAAAGGCACAATTTACTCTTAAAAGCAATAAATGTGAAGGAAACTTATATCTAAACAACTAAATTTACGAAGAATTCGGCTTACAATTAGCAAAACAAATAGACGTGGATTTGAAGCTGGCAACCACTTGCAGAAAGGGTTTCAAATGCAGTACAGTTCTAGCTGAATCCATGAATCCATTAGGTACATCTTCACTTTCTGAAAAATCAGGCTGAGAGCTTCAGAAGGGAAAGATCTACTACTGATTAAGATGGCTTCTTTTTTCGGCCAGCTTGTGAGATACGTTTCAGCATTTGAGTTTCCCTTTTCAATCCTCTGAAACACAAAAGTTCAAACCTTGTTGGAACCATTACAATGGTTATAACTAAAGTATGATTATGACAAACAAGTTCTGAAACAAATACCTCCGATATAAGTAAATGTATAGATAGTAAAATAGCAGCAGCGTCACAAGAAAAATGGAGGCAGCAATGTAGAACCCGTTTTTCTTTTTCTGCACAAATCAAGAAACCAGTTAATGAATATTTTCCTCGTTTTTCTTTTTCTGCACAAATCAAGAAACCAGTTAATGAATATTTTCCTCAATTTCATCGCACAGTTGCAAACACCACTTCACTATATCGCGCAGTTTGTTCATGCGCTTGTACTAAATCGCGCATGTGATTTTGAAAATTTACTTTCGCATGAACTAAATAATTTTTTGGAGTACGTTTCTTCATAACTTCTGAATCCTTTATCACAACTAAAGAGTTCTAGAAAGCATAGTTCAGACAAGATAACATGTAGAATTAGGAAAAAAAACCTATCACGGGAACTGATAAAAGCAAAGTGAAGGTTAGTAAAACTATCACAAGAACTAATAAAGCAAATCACACATCGTGTAAAAATAGCAGTCTGTTTAAATTCCTCTACACAATACTATTTGACATCATTTTATACTAACTAACGTATTGTGGAACAATAACGATTCCCGCTATCTGACATCATTTTGTACTAAATAACATAATGCTGAACAATAGCAATTTTCTTCAAACTCCACCATGTCTATGGCGCGGCGCCACTATAACCGCTATTTAACAACAATGATAAGAAAAATGGTGGAAAAAACAATTTAGTTTTAGATTACAGTCAAATTACCCTGCGCCCTCTGGCGAAAGGCTTCCCAATTCCAGCACAGCTGTGGGCATCACAGAATTGATGCAAGAAGAATTCTGTCAAATTGTTGGTGTTAGAATGCAGTATCACAGACTCCCATAAGTATACAACTTTTGCGGAAGAATGAAAGGAATATTGCAATACCGTGAAGCCGGCTTGCCACAGGGCCAGTGTTAACAGGAAAACAACTATCTGCTAAGGTCTGCAAAAATATGGGGAAATTAGAACATAAACTTGGTTAATACATATGAATAGACAAAAAAAAAACAAAAGCACACCTCACACAGATGTTTATTTCTTGCTGCAGCAGCAGGATTGCACTTTGATTTTTTTGACCTGGAATTGATATCATGGTCACAGTGCAATGCTCCACATACATCTGCTAAGCACTGGCTTTCATTCTGGATTCAGAAAAATCATCTCATTTAAGCTGTTAAAGCTTCAACGCGACAAACCGCGTAGAGAAAACTACCATAACTTTCTAAAGGTTTAACAAATTCACACCTTCCTAAATTATAACAAATGCTTTAAAACACCAATTACTTGTCCACCAATGTAAGAAAACATAAAAATTGTATTGATTCTATTAAACAAGTAGCGTCATACCAAGTTAAGTAAATTGGAGTGTCTGTTGTCAAAATGCTGATCAAGATGCTTCTCTTCGTAGAAAGTTTTTTTACAGTATCCACACTGCCACTCATTTATATCTATATGAGATTTATGCTGTTCCTGATCTCTGTATATATCATTTTCAGGGTGAAGCCTGCACTTTCTTGAGATATTATATTTTTCTTTCTCTACAACTGGTGTCAAATACTGTGCAGCAAGAATCGTGTATCAAGAGAATGTACATTTATCTGTTACGCAATATCAATGCAAGTAGGTCATAGAGTAGCATTAATTGAGTCACTCATTTAAGCCTTACCTCTTGAATGATCTTCCAAGCTATTCTACTTCTTTCTCTAGAGCAATGTATTCGATGAACATCCCCCTGCTCTTGATTCAGAATTCTGAACAGTGACAAATTATTAGTCATACCAATTCCAGTACAAAAAGCAAAAAATGCAAGAACATATATACACTAAGTAAAGATAAAAGACATAGCATTGAACAATTCAGATCCAATGCAAGCCATGCCTCCAACGCGACTCTGACACGTGTAGTTATAGTCAATCTCTTTCATTTTCTTATATTATTAGTCGTGCCAATGTGACAGTGATGTGTTTGGTGTCTTTGTCAGTAGTAATTCATTGTAAGTTATGAAGCACGGACACCAAACACAACACTGTTAATAATTTGAAAAAGTAAATAACTTGAACGTAATTACGTGTGTTAGTGTGAGACAAACATCAGACACGCCTTTGTTCATAGGTGTCAGTGCTATAAGATTGTGATAAGAATTATACAAATGAACAAAAGTATATACGTGTAGGTATTTATTGTCTCCATAACAGATAATAGGATCAGCAAGACAAAAATTGACGAACTCTGAAATACAGTCTAATAAGTTCAATCAGATATTAAAACTGACTCACCTTGTAGTGTCTGAATCTACATGAACCTGTAACAAAAAAACAAACAAAAACTTAATTTTTACACTAAAGACAATTACACAATAAGCTATTATACAACTCCAATTCCAATTCCATTCATGCAAACCAAGAAACAGTTCATTGAAACAAAGTGAACTTAGTTAACACATATAGCAATTCTCAATTCCCAATTCAAAAGTTGAAATTTCAAACCTAAATTAGCATTCTATTGTAATCCAAATTCATACAATTTTAACAATTCAAACAGCACATGATTAAATTCAACAAACTTCAAATCAATTTGAAGAACTATATGATTACATTATGAGTGTGTGGGAGTGATGAGGTTAAGGAAACCCTAGTTAGAAGCAAGAAGACGAAGAAACGATGATACCCAACCAAAATCTTATTCATTCCTCTTGTTTGCTTTCAAAGAATGAGGAAAGAAAGAAATTGAAGATGCTTGCTTGCTTGCAGAGACTCGGGTCGGTACCAGAAACCACGACAGAGCAGCCTATTAAAATTTGCCACTTGTTAAATCTTACACTTTGTTTTACTTAAATGGTTTAAATAGTTGTAATAATAATTTAAAATTCTAATTATATAAAATGGAATGCTAATAGATAAAATATATTTAGTTTATAATTTTTTTCTCATAATGATTATTTTAAAAAATATTAATGCATTACTAATTCTGTTTTTTTCATGAATGTATGTTTATTAAATTACATTTAAATATTTTATTCATGAAGGACCAATATTGAATAAGTTTCAAATTAAAGATTTTTCTCAATTCTTCATGTTAGCATATTCAATATCAATCATGATTTCTTCCAATTCAATTTGAATTGAGGTGTAAATTTTAATCTTAACTAAAAAAGCTCTTATGTTTTTAAATTATCCATAAATATATCACCATAAGTTGATATTCTATAATTTTCTTTTGAAGTTTCATCTATGTTGCAATTAATTCTATTATAACTAGAAAATCATCAATTAACTTGTATGATTATGAGTGCAGGAGAAGGTTGACATTTTACGTCCAAACATTTAGTAATTGTCAATCCCTGAATTGAAGAGTATATGTGCCTCTTGAAAGAAATAGGTTTCCTTTAGACCAATTGTTTGACATGAAGAATGGCTCTATCAAAGTCAATTTTATCATTTTAAAACCTGATATTATTTCTTATATGTCAAGTTTTCACAAGAATTATTAAGAAGAGAGTCATGATCAAATTATGAATTTTAAAGCTCTAACTTTTACCAGTAAGTTTGAATAAGTTTTCATAACTAATTATATCGATGTTCATGTCAAATAATCACTACATCTAATACCAGAAAAGTAAGATGTACCTACATCAAAGAAATAGGTGGTTTGTAGTTTCTACATCATAATTGCGTAGAACACCTTGAAACAATATACATTCTCCTTCGAATTAGGTTGTCTTACGTTGCAATTCTATTATGCATTAACTTCTATAACATCGGCTAGCCCCATGTCTAGAATAATAATGAGTACTATTAATGATTGAAATTGGATACATCAATTCAAACCTTTGGAAGTGGACTAGTTTAAAATTTTACAACAATATAGAATAACAAATACATTGACCATCTGATAAATCTTCAACACAACATAAAGTTGTTCCATCGGGTCTGCAATGTCACATCCACCGTTGTAAGTCCAATCCAAATAAATGGTTACATGAAAAATAATGTAATAACATGGGATGAGATACTAATCTCAATGAGTTTCCAGTATAAACTAATTAATCACTTCCTACTCTTCTCTTGATTAAGACATACTTGAATATTCTATCAGGGTGACAAGCAGTAATCAGTAATACTTGCGAAGAGAGAGATAAAATCTGGGAAACATAAGAGACATCCGGAAAAGTATCTGACGCAAAAGGTAACTATACTCTGAAAAATACATCAAAAACATCTAGAAAAGCATTAGATGCAGAATGAGACCAAATCTGAAGATACGATAGAGATTAACATGAGAACATTGAACTATACTGAGGATAAAACAAGGAAAGACATCAGAGACATTCAAAAAAACATTGAATGAATTCTGTTAGGGAAAACATCAAATATATTCAGAAGAACATTGAATCATCTTTAGAAAAACATCAGGCACATTCAAAACAATATTAAATATACGAGAAACAAATCATCAAAGACATCCAGGAAAGCGTTGAATGAAACTCTGGAACGTAACAAAGGCAGTCATCAAAGAAATTCAGAAAAGCGTTGAATGAATTTGGAAAAGAATCAGGAACATCCAGAAGAGCGTTGAGTGCACGAGAAACAAATCATCAGAGACATTTAGAAGAGGATTGAATGAAACTCTGGAACACATCATAAAAGAAATTCAGAAAAACATTGAATGAACTTTGGGAAATCACATCTAAAAACATTGGATGGAAAGGAACCAATCATCAGAGACATTTAGAAGAGCATTAAACGAAACTTTGGAACATATCATCAAAGACATTTAGAAGAGCGTTGAATGAACTTTGGACATCACATCATCAAAGACATTCAGAAGAGCATTGAATGAACTTTGGACATCACATCTAGAAAAGCATTGGATAGAAAGGAATCCAAACTTTGAGGAAACGTCGAATACATCTAGAAAAGCATTAGATGGAAGGAAACCAGAAACATTCAGAAAAGCATTGAATGCAACAGGAGACTCAAACCCCTGAAATATGACATAGACGTCTATAAAAGCGTTAGATGAAATGGAAATTCTTTTGGAAATCTGAGTAGCCATCCAGAAAAGCATTGAATGGAAAGGAAGACAAACCCGAGAGCATCTAGAAAAAAATTGGATGAGAGGAAAGCTATCCAAGCTCAAAGATACGTCTGAAACATCCAGCAAAACATTAAATGTACAAGAACACATTTTGGAAGAGCATCAGAAAAAATAAGACATATTCGGGAGAACATCAAATAAACACAGTCAAATCTAGAAGAACATTAGATAGACACAAAAGGGCTCTGGAAAAACGACAGCATGACAGATATATCCGGAAGAATATCATGTAGACACAGTTAAATAAAACACAAAGGAGATGATATTTGTTTTGATAGATGCCAAGTAAGTTGGACTTTGACCACAAGGTAATATGTTAGTAACAACAGGACCTCGAGAGATGAAAATAAGCATGAATCACTCTTCATGTTATGCATGATATATGAATTTTGTTATGCATGATATATGAATGATCTATACATATGATGCTAACGTTTACGACAATGGAGCTTGACTTTTTTCTGAGGGAAGATTAGAACACGGATTCCTCAACACGGAGAGCTCTGCCAATTCTACTTGGAAAGAAAATGTCTTGAGAAACACTTATGTTGGGCTTGTAAACTGTATCGAACTGATGATCCTTTGAGAAAGGACATAAAGAGCTACTTGGGGATTGCCCCACATTAGTTGATTGCTGAGGATAAACTGATCATGGCTTCAGTCTAATATTGTTGGGAATAAATTAATCATGGCTTCGGTTCTTGAAATAACTGAGGGAACGACTTTCCCCAATATGAGTCTTTGAAAAATCTTCTTGATAACCAATTTTAAGGATAACTTGCACTGAGCAAAAAAACTTGAACTGATTCACAATATGATCTTGAAGTAACTTGCCCCTGATAGGATCACTGACCAAATTTCTTAACTGTTTGAAATTCCTAGATGAGAAAAGCTTAATTGCAAGCAAAAAATTATTTATTCAAACATGGTAATTTTAATGCAAAGTTCATGCAAAAGTTTTGAAATCAAAATCATTTTTGGAACGATGTTATATAGAAAATGAATCAGTAGTAAAAACACGGCGATTTAGACATTTAAAGTGAAAGAGAAAGCACGTGTATGATACCAAGATAAATGATTTACAAAAGATCTTAGGAGTCAGCTTACGTAACGTTGTTGTAATATGCTTTCAAAAGAAACTTGGCTTCAATTAGGTCTTTTGAGGGTTGTAACGTGGTCTAGTTAACGGTTTATGAAACAAAGGATATAGGCTCAAATTTTATTTGTACCCAACCCGATCTTCGTGATGTTATTCAGTCCTATGTTCAGTTAACTCAGACCGTGCATTCTGGTTCTAAGAGATTTTGGAATTGCAACACTGATGATATTAATGATGATGGCTCAAAAACCAAGGGATTTTTAAGAAGGAAGACACTTCTTCTTACAACATTTTGTTAAGGACTTCTTTCTTTTGAATTTTTTTATCCGTAAAATTTTCCTTAACTGTTTCATTTGAGATTTCAGTCAGCGGGATGCCCCAGTTTTGCCTAAGTATCCTTCATAGGTTTTAACTTGGTGGGATTTTTCTTTGATTTTTCCATTATTTTCTTTTTCTTGGAAAGATAATGACTTCCCAACTTAATGATTCTGGCGAACCATCATTGGATTTTGATTTGGAGAACATCTTCGACACTTATTTGATGTGTGCGAAGGAAAGCTTGATTGCAACCTTTATTGAAAGGTGTCTTCCATGATTATCTTATAATTAAATGCACATCAAAATTAATTGAGAACTACCCTACTCCAGGTTAAGATTGTGGGTTTTTTCATACAGAAAGAAACTCGAACTTCTTAGGCTCAAAGGGGTGAATGAGGGATTAACTTCCTTATTTCTCCAGTGTTTGGGAATTGAAACAATGTTTGTATATTGATCTTACTGAATCAGAATGGACCGTCACAACCAGCTCGGGCAGAATTCGAATGAGATGGGGGAGGGGGGGGGGGGTACTTGAAAGACACTCTGATGGAAAAGTAAGTTGCGGAATGAGAAATCAAGTGTAAGAGTTAGAAAGTGTTGAATACCTGACCCTCTTAGGAGAAAGGGTATTTATATCCCCCAGCACTGGGCCAAGGTCCCTTATTGGGCCATGTTGAGGCCCAATAACAGAAACTTCCAGGGCTTACGTGTGTATGTAGTCCAGCAAGTGGACTCTCCCCTGGTCAACTGCTCCACGAGAATAGGGTTGAACCCGTGATTCCCGGAGGGCAGTTTAAGATGACTGTTGTGGGATCATGGGCCATGTCCTCCAACAGACGTGTGGGGAGTTGACTAACAGTCCCTAACTTGGGCTCTGTTTTTGGGCCTCCCATTCGAAGGGCAAGTGTAGGCCCAATCCATATAGGATTTGTAACACCCCGTTTTCAATTAATTGATTTATTTAAATTTGGGAATTTATTTTATTAGAATTAATAAAATAAAAAGAATTATTTATTTTGGAGTATTTGAGGAAAATAAAAGAAATAAGGAATATTGGGATTTTTTATGTTATTGGGCTTAGATGTTGTTAGTAAAGAGTGGGGGTGCAGAGAAATAAAGTTATGTTTGGGACTTAGGCCATTTTCTCATTTTTGGTTTTCACGTAAGAACAGA